AATTGGCTTTTTCAAAAAAAAAAAAAATAAACATTTGGGAAGTTTCCCCTCTTCATTGATGTTAGATTGGCTTGAGCCATAGCCTCCTTTAAAATAAAGGAGGCTATGCTTAGCCCGTTATACCTCCTGGTGGTACGGGCTACCCCCCCTTTTCCTTTTAGTTATTTTCACATATAGGGGGCGGAAAAACACACACACACGCACACACACACACACACACGCACGCACACACACACACACACACACACACACGCACAGTGCTATGAACATATATAGAAATGGAAATAAAAATTCTAAATGTGTAAACAACAAATACACTAACAAACACAAGATTTACGTGCAGCGGTGATTTCATTTTCATTCTTTTTTTGTTTTAGGGGCGAAGCTCCTTATTGCGTCGTTGGCGGGTATGTGCCCTCGTCATAACCACCGAGGGCACATAAGCGACACTTGTTAATTCTTGAACCGGCCATAGAAGAGGTACTTGTACTATGCACTGAAAATGCAAATGGTGTGACATAAGAGGGTGTTGCTTGTAGAAAATAAGGATTGGCGTCACACGTACAGAAAAAGAGAGAGAGACGGTGGCGTGTTCTTCGGCAGCTCCGTACGCCAGGGGGCACTCTATAGTACAATAAAAGCGCCGTTTTGGCGCGCGCGCGCATTCAGAAGCTCGGCGACGGAGGCTGGGTAAGGCTGCTGAGCGGCTTGTGCTATTCACGCGGCTCGCGGCTCGAAGAAGGTGGTGGCTCGCGCTTGAAGAAGAAACCCTGACGTGCGGATGCGTGAGGCAGAAGCGAAGCCAAGACCTTGCAGTACGAGAATGGGAGGCTGAAGCGGCGTGTGGACCCAGCTTCGCCCCACCCTCCATCATTCAACCCGTGGATATGCTGTCATTTTTGTTGACTCTTTTACCTTAATGTTCGCTAGGAAAATGGAAGATAAGGTTTTAAATGTGAAGAGTGTGTAAAGAGTGCTAATAAGCTACTGGCGAAGTTGAGAAAGGATGATATGTGCTCTATTAACACCTTATAAATATAACCTGTTTATTTGCGATGGTAGCTGATGTAATTTTTTGTTGTCCATATAGTTAGTTCTAGTAGGAGGAAGCATCCATGGTGGCTGATGGTGGTGTGGGTATTTTGAATGAAAATGTTTCATCTGTGATTGTAGCTAAACGGTTTTTTGTTCGATTTTATAGTGGCGTAAGTACCTTTAAATGTATATGTCCTGTATATTGATGATTTCATGTTCCTTAAACAAGTAATTTTTTGTATATCTCTGAGAAAACTTGTAAATTAGTCGTAAGATTTCATTATGGACAAGTAAAATTTCTCTTAAATTAGTCTTAGTCATTGTCGCCCCCCCCCCCCCCCCCCCCCCGTAAGTGTAGCATTTCAAGTTTGAAAGGAATAAATGATGGTATATAGCAAGCTTTGCCTTTAACAGTAAAACAGATTTATATTGCCAAAGTATACTAACCGCTCTCGAAGCTAACAATAAAATGCTGCGAACATGATCATTTTATTACAAATGCTGCCGTTGTGAAATAAACTCCTAGTGATTTTATTGACCTACCATTTTAAACTGACTGGCATGTCTATTACAAATTACTTAGGTATAAGATTTCCTATTTGTTCAAATAGGAATTACACCTTTAGTTTAATTTACATTACCTGGAAGTGCATTTTTCTTTGTCCAAAGTTCTATCTTACCAAATGTATTATTACCACGGGAAGATAGCTCTTTTTGTGTATCAGCTGACAAAATTATTGCAGTGTCATCCGCATAAATGATGAATCTGGATTGATCCTCAAGGTTCGCGATATCATTAATGTACACGTTGTATAGAAGAGGTCCAAGTACACTTTAAATAAAAATATACCCAACTGGGAGGAATCGGGGAATGATGCGCCCGCTCTGCTGCGGTGGCCTCACTGAAACCTAATTGTGCCGAAGGCAATACATGCGTTTTCCACCATTTTCCTCTCGTGGGCTTCGAACGAAGAAAAACGAGGTTCATCCTCTGATTATGCTCTCGTGGTTGCTCGATTTTGCTTTGGTGAATGCTCCGCCAATGCTCCAGTTCATCACTCAGCACCATTTATTGGCTGTTCGGGGAGTGACGTAGACAGCTTCGCCACCGGGAGGCCATTCCCAATAAGAGCTTCAAGCGCTTACTAAAGGAGTACATTGAGCATGATTTGAGATCAACAGGCAGCACGTTCTACAGTGTTATGCATATAAATCTTGCCGTCGTTTGACCATTGTTGGAACGTACTTTAGGTAGAAGTAGATTATGGTTAGCTGAAAACCTCGTGTTGATAGTATTTACAAGAGTAACTCCCGAGAAACTGGAAATGTATAATTCAATATTAGGATACAAAACATGATCATCAGAATTTTGTAGCTGAAGAGTTCATGCAGAGGTAAAAGGTTCATGTTGCTAAAAAGGGGGGCTGATGGTGATGAAAATGATTTCAAAGTAATGAGTCTCAAAGCTTGCTTCTGTAATCGTTCTAGATGATTTACATGTGACCAATATGTATTTCCCCATGATGATACGCAGTATGACAGGTGACTATGAATGAATGCGTAATATAAAGATAAAAGGATTTCAGTGGAAAAGTAAGGTCGTGTTTTGATGATCACGTGAATACCGAAAGACACCTTTTGAATTAAGGCCTGCGCATGCTCGTTTAATTTCAAATGTTTATCTAATACCACACCAACAAACTTTGTAGATGAACATGCATGAATGAATTGTCAATCAAGTGTCACTGCTAATGAAGCGATGTTTGGAAACAAGTGCGAGGACGGAAGACCATGAAATTAGTGTTTGATGAATTGATGAGTAACAGATTCGATACACACCATGAATGAACGTCATTTAGGTCGACGTTTAGTGATAGTTGTAGCGTGAGTGGATCCTTGTGTGCGGTAAAAATAGTAGTGTCATCAGCGTAGAGAAGAGTGTTAGTGTGATTCAGACGAAGTGGTAAGTCATTTATAAATAACAAAAACAGGAGCGGTCCCAGAATTTACCCTTGAACGCCAATGTTAGTGGTTTTTGGAGATGAAAAACTCTGGTCTATCTGAAAAACCTGCGTCCGATCACCAAAATAGCTTTTAATGAGCTGAAGAGTTGGTCCAGATATGCCGTAAATGTCAAGCCTATGAAATAGGATGGCATGCTTAATTGTATCGAAAGCTTTAGTAAAATCAATAAACACCGCTCCAAGAAGAACACCTTCATCAATTGTCAATTTAATCCTGCCAGTGAAAGTTATTAGTGCAACTTCAGTCGAAAGACCTGGACGAAAGCCAAATTGGTGATCAGATAATATGTTGAATTTCGATGGGTATTTCGATAAACGGTTGCAAATTAGTTTTTCAATGACTTTACTAAACAAAGGTAAAGTGCAAATCGGGCGATAGTTGTTACAGCATTCGCGATCACCTTCCTAAAATTGGGGATAATTTTCTCTGCTTTATGGCCTTTAGGAAACAAAGCAGCCGCGAAAATCTTATTGAATAAATAGGCTAAGATAGGGGAAAGTTCTTTGATACAAGTTTACTTTTAGAAGAACAGATTTGATCAAGCCCTGGGGCAGTCTTCTTTTATGATGAGATGATATTTTAACTTCATCTGCTACCATGAGATACAAAAAGAAAGATCGAGGAGTACGTGGAAGACTTGACAGTGAGAGTTCCGACTGAGTGTTAGTATTAGTATTCACAGGGGTGTTGAAATGAGAGCTGAAAACCTCCGCAATAGAATCAGAATCAGTGTATCTGTTTTTATTAACAGATATAGCAGTTGGGTGAGATTTAGGCTCATTGCTGTTCAGATTCTTTAAGTACACGCCACTGCTGCCTTGTGTTGCCAGTATTATTTATAATATTACTTTGATAGTACTCCCGTTCAGCGTGCTTTAGGGCAGCTCCCAGAATATTGGAATAAGTTTTTAGACGACATTTGAGTGAATGATTGAATGGTTCTGCCGTGACCTTTTCGCGAAGATTGTCCTTTTCCTTATAGAATGCGTTAGTGCCTTAGTAATTCAATGATTCCTAGGTGCATGGAACCATTGTTTAATTATGGTTTCAAAGTGGTGAAAAGATGACTTGGCATGGGCAGGCTGCGCCCATGGCAAGTTATCTTTTCACCCACTGTTCTTTCTTCATATTTGCAATACAATATGGTCTAATATCTTCCCCTATACTTCTTTGGCATTATTGTCTGTTAGATTTCATATATATATATATATATATATATATATATATATATATATATATATATATATATATATATATATATATATATATATATATATATATATATATATATATATATGTGCAGGATAAACAGCTGTAAGTAGGGCTTGTCCCTTGGGTATATGTCTCTTGTGTGCTCCGTTATCTTTTTTTCGCTACGTATTTACATTCCTTCCTTTCCGCTTTTACTCTACTTAACAACGTCTCTTTAGTTCGGCTGACGACCTCTGCAATTTCAATGCCTGATTCCGAATTCGCATTCATGCTTTAAGCTTGATTAGTGTTATGGTGTTACGTTTCTATGTACAAGTCGTGTGTTCGAAAGCCAACCATGGGAGCAGAACTTCAATAGGGGCGAAATGCAAAAGCCTTTCTGTGTTTCAAATTCTTGTCACTTTATAGTTATGAGCCTGAAGACTCAAGGCTTCTCACTGTACGATTTCAAGTTTTCCCTGCTTTGCCGCGCTTAGACTCGGGTGCACAGTGAAAAACCAGCCAAGATAACTCTTATTCAGGTATAGTTTTATCACTCTAAACATTATAGTCTTTATCATTTGAAATCATTAGGAGTCGGTGGAAACGTTTGCACATTGTCAAGTATTTTTCGGGCAATACCAGCACTGCTCGAAACTGTTTCCACCAACTGCATTCTCCCTCTAGGTTAGCAAATAAAAAAACAACAAAAATTGCGATTACCAATGTACATACTTTTCCATCCCCAGGTCATGGAAAAGTGGATCGAAGAGTACGGCAAAGTTTTCGGTTTCTACGAGGGTGAAGTTCCCAAGGTTGTCATAAGTGATCTAGAGATCATCAAGAAATGCTTCGTGAAAGATTCACATGTATTCCGCGACAGAGGACCTTTCGTCGTTGAAGTGGAACCCATTAAAAGCAGTCTGCTTTTCCTCAAAGGTGGGGAAGCTTACTTGATGCCAGATGCATGCTCTCTTTTCGTGTGTGCCTATGTGTTGTGAATTGTTGTTGCCTAGTTGCACTTACACCACAGAGATAGACCTGAAATAACTAAATTGCAGGTATTGATGAGATATAACAGAGAACCATGCCAATAATGTATACAGGACCTTATTAGAAGTAATTGTAGCGTGAATGTGAACAAAGAAAAAATGATGAAAAGAGGCTTGTCACGGGCGGGGTCATGAGCATCACGGCCAGTATGTAACACTCACCGTCATGGCTACTGGCGGTGCGGACTGATGCTCCCACGTTTATTCCACAATTATGCCCCATAAAGTTGACGTAGGAATAGCCGCCGTGGCAGCTCGGAGCATCGGATGCCTTATTAGAAGATAGTGAATTTGGTTTTTGTCCACTGTCAGTAATCTTTACGTCGTTAATATTGATACGTGTATGGAACTGTCACCCCGACACAGCTGAATTGGCACCCAAATGAAGAAGACGACAACGTGGTTGTTGTGGGTTGGACTCTCGAGATTCTCCCCTTGGCCTCCTTGACTGTGCGCTCTCTAAGCTGTTAGCAAGACCAGCTCTCGGTGAATAAATCTTCCCCGTAACATCTTTTGGTGGAAGGTGCGGGGTCTTCACACAACTCGGCTCTGCAACTCCACAGTGGACGCCAGCTTTGTACAGCCGCGATGCCTGAAACCGGCACTCAGGCCTCGCCATCCGCGCCGGTTCCATCACCTGTGATTCCCCCCATCTTCTCGACCCTGGCACGTTTTCCGGGACGGACAGCACGGACGTCGAAGAATGGCTTGATGAATGTTCGATTTGTTCTTTTACCCCTGACACTAAGACCATGGCGAAACCTGTCATCACGTCGCAATACAAGGCGTTCCTCGACAAAATGATGCCCAGCGACATCTTACCTTTCCAAGTTGCAGCGCTCCGGGGTGTTCTATTTTCTTACCTGGATATATTTGATGTCGACGGCCGTCCCCTGGGCCGCGCATGTGCCGTAACCGACCGCATCAACACCGGCGACGCCACTCCCCTCCACAACCGCCCTTATCGCGTGTCACATGCTGAGCGCCAAGTTATACAGATGGAGGTCGAGAAAATGCCGAGTAAAGACGTCATTGAGCCTTCATCGAGTCCTTGGGCATTCCCTGTTGTCTTAGTTAAAAAGAAGGACAACACCTGGCGCTTTTGCGTCGACTATCACCACCTGAATCGGATCACCAAGAAGTACGTTTATCCTTTACCCCGAATCGATGATGCGCTCGACTGCCTCCACGGCGCCAACTACTTCTCGTACCTTGACCTTCGATGCGGGTACTGGCAAATTTCGGTCGACGACCGTGACCGCGAGAAGACAGCATTCATCACACCCGATGGCCTTTACCAATTCATGGTCATGCCTTTTGGGTTGTGCAACGCCCCGGCATCTTTTGAGCGTATGATAGACTCTCATCTTCGCGGTTTCAAATGGTCAACCTGCCTTTGCTATCTGGATAATGTAATCGTTTTCTCGCCCTCCTTCAAAAGCCACCTGTCTCGTCTCTCAGAAATTTTTGACGTTTTTCGTTGCGCTGGTCAACAACTGATTTCATCGAAATGCTCAATTGGACGCCGGCACATTAAGCTACTCAGCCACCTTGTTTACGCCACTGGTGTTCAACCCGACCCTGAGAAAGTCCGTGCAGTCCGAGAATTCCCGATTCCGCGTTGCACACAAGAAGTTCGCAGTTTTATTGGGCTCTCCTCATACTTCCGCCGCTTTGTCTTCAACTTCGCGGATATTGCTAGGCCCCTCACGGATCTCCTCAAAAAGAATGTGGCCTTTTTTGGGGAAGGGACCAAGAACATTCCTTCGCATCGCTAATTACCGCCCTCACATCACCACCTGTGTTGGCTTATTTTGATCCGGCGGCTCGAACAGAGCTTCGCACCGATAAAAGCGGCCATGGAATTGGTGCTGTACTCACTCAGATACAGAATGGCACCAACCGTGTGATAGCCTACGCTAGCCGCCATTTATCGCAAGCAGAACGAAATTATTCCATCACTGAGCGGGAATGCTTAGCCCTCGTTTGGGCTATTGCGAAATTCCGTCCGTACTTATACGGAGGTCCGTTCACAGTCATCACGCACCATCATGCGCTTTGCTGGCTTTCGACGCTTAAGGACCCTACAGGAAGACTCGGCCGATGGGCATGTCAATTACAGGAGTACACGTTCTCGGTTGTTTACAAATCTCGAAAGCTGCACAGCGATGCTGACTGCTTATCCCGGCACCCCGTTGATCCACCTAGCTCCAGTGATTTGGAATCCGATGCCTGCGTTTTAGCCATCACTGACTTTCTGAACGTGGCCGACGAACAGCGCCGAGATCCATCGCTGCTCACCATCATTGACTACCTTCAATCACGTTATGCTGACCCTTCTCTTAGCAGATACCTACTTCAAGACAACGTTTTGTACCGCCGCAACTTACATCCCGACGGCGCGGAACTTTTACTCGTCGTACCGCATCACCTGCGAAAGGATGTTCTGCGACAATTCCACGACGCTCCAACTTCTGGACATCTAGGAGTCTCCAAAACTTACGACCGCATTGACGACGATTATTCTGGAAGGGCCTCTACCGCTCTGTTCACCGTTATGTCGCATCATGCGACCTCTGCCAGCGCCGAAAGAAGCCTACGACTCCCCCTGCCGGTCTTCTTCAACCTATTGAAGTTCCAGCCGAGCCATTTTATCGAGTGGGGTTGGACTTGCTAGGTCCCTTTCCTACTTCTACAACTAGAAATAAATGCATTGCAGTGGCCACAGACTATGCCACTCGGTATGCAATCGCTCGAGCGCTGCCAACCAGCTGCGCAACTGATGTTGCCGACTTCCTTCTGTACGACATTATTCTCCATCATGGCGCTCCGTCTCACCTGCTCACAGACCGTGGTCGCTACTATCTATCTCGTGTGGTTGATGATCTACTCCGATCTTGTGCTACCCGTCACAACTTCACCACATCTTACCACCCTCAGACTAACGGCCTTACGGAGCGCCTAAACCGCACATTGACAGATTTGCTTGCCATGTACGTATCTACCGACCACACTGATTGAGACATAGCTCTTCCGTTTGTAACCTTCACCTATAACTCGTCGCGTCATGAAACAGCGGGCTACTCCCCTTTTTATCTACTCTTCGGACGTCATCCCTTACTGCCCTTCGACACACTGCTTTCATCAGACCACCCATCCTCCACTTCGTACGCTCAGGATGCGATCACCCGGGCCCAGACGGCACGCGCGGTATCGCGCGCTCGGTTATCGTCGTCGCAGACAGCACAGAAGTCCCTTTATGACCGTCGACATAGAGATGCCGTTTTTTCTGCGGGATCTCTTGTTCTCCTGTGGCTCCCATCTGGACGTGTTGGCCTCTGCGAGAAACTACTGTCGCGATACGCTGGGCCCTACCGAGTCATTCGTCAGGTCACACCTGTGACCTACGAGATTGCCGCTACCACAAACTCATCAGCTGCTGTACCCAGAATGGAAGTAGTCCACGTTTCCCGTCTCAAGCCCTACAACGCCGACTCGCTCATTTAACAAGCACCGAGACGGTGCCTTACTGGCCGGGGTGATAATACGTGTATGGAAGTGTTGCCCCGACACAGCTGAATTGGCACCCAAATGAAGAAGACGACAACGTGGTTGTTGTGGGTTGGATTCCCCTTGGCCTGAATGACTGTGCGCTCTCTAAGCTGTTAGCAAGACCAGCTCTCGGTGAATAAATCTTCCCCGTAACAATATTTACATCAAATTTACTTCTAGTACCATCCATTATACCTTCCATGGTATTTTTGCCTCTCTTCGATGTCCTTAATATTGTGTCTAACGAAGAAAACGAGCCCTCGAATATAAAAATCTTTCCTTCTAATTTTCTTTTGCATGGCGTTTTAACGATCCATGTGTAGTCATTGCTGTAGTGCCTATACGTTAACTGTACAGAGTTTATAGTATACTTAAAGAGTGCATTGCGCAATTTGTGTGTCAGAAAAATGTAAAGCATCGGGGTAAAGTACGCATGGTCCGCCTCTCACAGCGTCTATGGAAATGAAGGAACGCACACAATGAAGGGCAGCCTTAGGTAATTTATTTAAAGCTGAAGTAAAAGCCGGAGGGAGTAAAACTAGACAGTTTGTTTTATAATGCCTCTTCTATAAAAAAACAGCCCACTGAAGTCTTGCAAAAGTTATCAACATTACTACATCCTGCCAGCCATCTTGTTTGTTTGTTTTGCTGACTCCTCGAAAGCCTCGGATGCCTGTGAGAGCTATTTAGGATCTGTATTTGGAAATAGCAGTGGTACTTCCCCTGATATTGGCATTAACCAGGAAACCTCTGTCTTTCTATGACTAAAGATTAGTTAAAATAATAATAATATTTTAATAAAATAATAATAATAAAAATTCGGCAGATTCCACGTACGAGAATCGAAATTATGCGAGGAATGCGGAGGGAAGGTGACTGTGTTGCAGTTTTTCTATTGAGCGACACGTCATGAAATGGCGTTAAATATATTTGCAAATGTTGCACGCACACACATATGTTGAAGATATTTATTATTTGCATTCGTCCGGTCAAAGCTGCCGAGGTAAAGTTTTTGTTAACGCTTAAGCGTTAAAAGTACGCCTGTGTGTTTTCGCCGTTATTAAGTAGATATAAACTGCCGAACACATGTGGCACATACCCGGATATGAGTGTCACATACCTGCCCTTGGGTATGCCCACTAGTTTCTGGAAAGTGTTTGACGATGTACGCGACGGGATCGTGACATTGTTTATTTCGTGTCCAGCGAGTCGTATTCGTCTAACAATTTCTCCCTCTCATACTAATTTTGGTTTACCCCAATTCAAGGATGAGATCATGAGAACACCGAGTGGTAGGTGGCTAGATAGATAGATAGATAGATAGATAGATAGATA